AACGAAAACCTGGGAGGGACATTCATTGGGAAAAGGGAATCAACAAGGAATATAGTCATCAGACTGGACAAAGTCAACAGGAATGAGGAACTCTTATGACCATGAGGTAAAAACATCAAGTAACTTATAAAGAAAAACTCATGACATTAGCAGGAAATTTCTCAAGAGAAACCTTACAAGCCAGATACGAATGGCATCCTATCTTTAGTCTTCTTAAATAGAACAACTGTCAGCCAGAAATTTTGTATACTGCTCAAGTAAGATTCATAACTGAAGGGGAAATAAAGTTTTTCACAGACAAGTAATTAACTAAGGGTATTTGATTCTACCAGACTCACCCTACAGGAAATGCTCAAAATTACATTATACATACAACAGCACAATAGATACCAACCAATGTAAAAACACCCAAAAGTTATAGCTCACAGCTCTTACAACCAATAGCATAAGAGGGAAATAAAACAATAAGCTGTCATTCAACATGTTGAACAGAATAGCATCCCACATATCAGTACTCAACATAAATGTTCTGAATGTCCTGCTTAAAAGTCATAGACTGACCGAATGGATGAAAAAACACAACCCAAATATTTGCTGTCTCCTAGAAACATATCTAAACTATAAGGACTCACACAGGCTCAAGGTAATGGAATGGACAAAAATATTCCATGCAAATAGAAACCAAAGATGAGGTGGTGTAGCTATTTTTAAATGAGATAAAATAGAATTTAAATCAACAGTAGTTAAAAAAGAAAAAAGACAAAGATGGTCATTATATAATGGTAAAGGGAACAATTCAATAAGAAGACATAACAATCCCAAATATATAGGCACATAACACTGGAGCTCTTAGCTTCAAAAGGAAACTGTTCTAGATAAACAAGAGACTGCATTTGCTGAGACTGGTTTTGTGGCATAAGATGTGATCAGTCTCGGAGAATCTCTCATGTGTTGAGGGAGAAAAAAGTATATTCAGTAGTTTCTAGGAAGATTGTTCTGTAAATGAGTGCTAGCTCCATTTGTTCTAAAGTACTGTTTAAATTTGGTGTTTATTTATTTATTTTGTGCTTTGATGACCTGTCTAGTTCTGTCAGTGGAGTGTTGAGGTCCCCAACTATTAAGTTGTTACTGTTTACTTCTTTGCTTTCATCTAGAAGAATTTGGTTTATGAAACATGGAGCTCCTATGTTATGTGCATATATATTTGGGATTGTTTTGTCTTTTTATTGAATTGTTCCCTTTACCATTATATAATGACCACTTTTGTCTTTTTTTCATTTTAACCACTGTTGATTCAAATTCTATTTTATCTGATTTAAAAATGCCTACACCTGCTCATTTTTGGTTTCTATTTGCATGGATTATTTTTGTCCATTCCATTACCTTTTGTCTGTGTGAGTCCTTATGGATTATATGTGTTTCTAGGAAATAGCAAATATTTAGGTTGTGTTTTTTCATCCATTCATTCAGTCTATGACTTTTAAGTGGGACATTCAGACCATTAATGTTGAGTGTTAGTACTGATATGTAGGATGCTATTCTGTTCAACATGTTGAATGGCAGCTTATTGTTTTGTTTCCCTCTTGTGCTATTGGTTTATAAGAGCTGTGAAGTATAACTTTTGGGTATATTTACACCTGTTGGTGTCTATTGTGCTGTTGCATGTATAATGGACTTTTGAGTGTTTCCTGTAGGGTGGATCTAGTAATGACAAAATCCTTTAGTATTTACTTGTCTGTGAAAAACTTTATTTCCCCTTCAGTTATGAAACTTACTTGAGCAGTATACAAAATCTTTGGCTGACAGTTGTTCTATTTAAGAAGACTAAAGATAGGATGCCATTCATATCTGGCTTGTAAGGTTTCTCTTGAGAAATTTCCTGTTAATGTCATGAGTTTTTCTTTATAAGTTACTTGATGTTTTCACCTCATGGCTCATAAGAGTTCCTCGTTCCTGTTGACTTTGTCCAGTCTGATGACTATATGCCTTGTTGATTCCCTTTTCACAAAGAATGTCCCTCCCAGGTTTTCTGTCTCCAAGTAACATGTCTAAACCATAAGGACTCACACACTCAAGGTAATGAAATGGACAGAAATATAGAAACCAAAAGATAACAGGTGTAGCTATTTTTTAATGAGATAAAATAGAACTTAAATCAACAGTGGTTAAAAAGAAAAAAAAAGCAAAGATGCTCATTAAATAATGGTAAAAGGAACAATTCAATAAGAAGACATAAGAATCCCAAATATATAGGAACATAACACAGGAGCTCCCAGAATCATAAACCAAATTCTTCTAGATGAAAACAAAGACATAAACAGTAACATCCTTTTTTTATTTTGAGACAGAATCTCACTCTGTTTCCCAGGCTAGAGTGCCATGCAATCAGCCTAGCTCACAGCAACCTCAGCCTCCTGGGCTCAAGCAATCCTTTTGCCTCAGCCTCCCGGGTAGCTGGGACTACAGGCATGTGCCACCATGCCCAGCTATTTTTTTCTAAATATTTTTAGATGCCCAATTAATTTCTTTCTATTTTTAGTGGAGACAGAGTCTATCTCTTGCTCAGGCTGGTTTCAAACTCCTGACCTTGAGTGATCCTACTGCCTCAGCTTCCCAGAGTGCTAGGATTACAGGCATGAGCCTTTGCACCCAGCCTAGTAACATCTTAATAGTTGGGGACCTGAACATCCCACTGACAGAACTGGACAGTTCATCAAAGCAGAAAACGAATAAATAAACACAAAACTTAAACAGGACTCTAGGACAAATGGACCTAACATGCATTTACAGAACATTCTTCTCAGACACTACTAAATATACTTTTTTTTTCTTCAGCACATGAGACATTCTCCAAGAACGATCACATCTTATGCCACAAAACAAGTCTTAGCAAATTCAACAACATCAAAAACATACCGTGTATCTTCTCAGACAAAAGTGGAATAAAACTAGGAATCAACTCCAAGGAAAACACTCAAATACACACAAAGTCAGAGAATTTAAACAACCTGTTGCTGAATTATCCTTGGGTCAATGAGGACATTAAGATGGATATCAAAAGATTCATCAAACTGTATGACAAAGGATACAGAAGCTTTAAAAATATATGTGATATAGAAAAAGTAGCCCTAAGTGGAAAGTTCATAGACTTAAGTGTCCACATGGAAAGCACAGAAAGATCACAAATTAACAGCCTAATGTTACATCTCAAGGAATGAAAAAAAGATGAACAAAACAAACCCAAAGCCAACAGAAGAAAAGAAATAACAAAGCTCAGAGCAGAACAAAACAAAATGGAAACCAAAAACAATACAAAGAATCAATGAAAGAAAAAGTTAATACATTGAAAAGATAAATAAAATCAATAGACCACTAACCAGATTAACCAGAAATTAAAGAGAAAGGACTCAATCAGATATGAAAATGGAGACATTACAAATGATACCACAGAAATACAAAATATAAGCCATAAATACTACGAAAACTTACACACACACACACACACAAAAACAAAACAAAACAAAACAGAAAATCTAGTGGAAAGGATAAATTCTTGGAAGCACACAACCTCCCAAACCTTAATCAGGAAGAAATAGAAACCAATTTCTATTAGAACAGACCAATAATGAGCAGTGAGATTGAAGCAATAATAAAAATTAAAATCTCCTGACAATAAAAAGCCACCGACCACAGAATTCACAGCTGAATTCTACCAGACATACAAAGAACTGAACCTCTTCTACAGAAACTATTTCAAGACATCAAGGAGGGAATCCTCCCAAATATGAAGCCAGTATCACCCTGATACCAAAGCCAGGAAAGAACACACTAAAAAGGAAAACTACAGACCAATGTCCCTTATGAACATGAACACAAAAATTCTCAACAACAAAATACTAGCAAAGTAAATTCAGCAGAGCATCAGAAAGATAATCCACCATGATCAAGGGGTTCTCATCCCGGGGATGCAAGGATGGCTAAAATACACAAATCAATAAATGTGATTCAATACATAAACAGAAACAAAAACAAAGACTATATGATCATCTTAATAGATACAGAATTGAATTTGAAAAAGGCCAGCACCTTTTCAAAATAAAAAAAAAACCTCAACAAACTAGGCATAGAAGGAACATAGCTCAAAATTATAAGCATCATATATGACATACCCACAGCCAACAACATACTGAATGGGGAAAAGTTCTTTTGGAACCAGAAAAGAGCCTGAATAGCCAAAGCAATCTTAAGTAAAAAGAGCAAATCTGGAGGCATTATATTACCAGACTTCAATTATAGTACAAGGCTATAGTAACCAACACAGCATAACACTGATATAAAAGCAGAAACATAGACCAATGGAACAGAACAGAGAATCCAGAAATAAAACCATCTACCTACAGCCAACCGATCTTTGACAAAGTAGACAACAACATACACAAAGGAAATGAAGCCCTATTTAATAAATGGTGCCAGGAAAACTGGATATCCATGTGCAGAAGAATGAAACAAGACCTTTATCACCTTTATCACCAAGACCTCTCTCACCATGTACAAAAGTTAATTCAAGATGGATTAAAGACTTAAATGTAAGGCATGAGACCATAAAATTTCACGAAGAAAACAGGAAAAAGCTCCTTCAAACATTGGCCTAGGCAAAGAACTTATGACTAAGACCTCATGTATCAGCTTTTCAAAGGCAGGAGCCATGTCTCTCATACCCTTGGATCTGCTTGCTAAGTAATTGTTCATGATTTGATCAGAATGCAAAAAGAGCTCAGAGCTCAGACAAGAAGACATTCTTCATTTAGTTCAATCACTTAGGAGCTTCTGAGGTTCTCACCCTTCCACTAGCTGCAGCTGCAGCCTCCACCTATTGTCCATTATTCTTGCTTTCACCTTGTGACTCAGCAGCAGAGTGGCAAATGTGGTAACAGTGCCATTTTCACTTTAACCAAACCAGAGAACTTTGGCAAGCTAACTTGTATAATGACACCCATCAAAACCAAGAGAGCACACACTAGGAGGTCTGCGAGGTCACTAGGCCCGCCCCTCTTTCATCCCACTCCCATGGTTTTATATTTGGGTGGAGCAAACACCAGCATTGCTGATGTGGGCAGCCTTCCTGAGGAGATGCAGCCGCTCCTGCTCCTGTTGGCCTTTCTCCTGCCTCCCACGGCTGGGATAGGTAAGTGACCATTGCTATTCCAGAGGCCTGAGCCTATCTTACAAAATCCCTGTATCTGTGACCCCTGCACCCTGCACTGGTCAGGAAGTTTCCTCAGTCTGCCCCAGGTCCCATCCCACACCCAGACTTCTAAGTCTGATGCTAGATAGACACTCAACAAGGATGGCAGAAGGAAGGGTGTTCCCTAAAAGGTTTAGTAGGTGTTAGCTGCTCTGCAAACCTCTCCTTGATGACTTGGAAAGTGAATTTTTCGTAGAAAGGCATTTGGTAGAAAATGTGAAGCTACAAAAGATAAGTAATACTCAACCCTCACTCCAATCCAGGAAAACGCAGCTCTAGGTATTTCCATTTCCTTTGAGCTTTACTTGGCCAGTATGGTCCCTCTCTTCTCAACTGTGCCACTTGCTCTGATTTCTGATTCCCTTCAATACCAAAGCTTACCTATCCTATCTCTCTCCCTTCATCATCCTAGTCCTGCTCCCCGGTGGCTGCTCTGACAAGCAGAAATGTAACCTGCAGCAGTGAATGCTGTCACAGGACCCAGCTTAAGAACCAGTTGAATTATTCAGTGCCCTCCCCACTCTAACTGCTGTCCCCGAGAGAAACCCATGGTGCAACAGATCTCAGAGATGGCAGATGGCTGCAACCACAGCTCTCCTGTGGCCTTGGCTCCACCCAGGACTATGCAGTCCATGTTTTGCTAGCATCTTCTTTCCCCTGCCTTCCCAGGTCCTTGGCTACTCCACCATCTTTGGCAGTGCTTCCCCCACCATCCCAGCAGCCCTGAAGCCCACCAGCACCACCCCCACCACACACCAGCCAAAGCCTAACTTAACTGGAAGCCATTCATTCGTGCAGCCAAAAAACAATTTCTAAGAACCTAGGATGTGAACCCAGACCCTACATATGGATTTTAGAAAATCCAACTCCATATGCTCGTGGGTAAATCATTAGAAAATGGCACTGACGGGGATGATAGCAAAGGCTCAGAGGAAGCAGGGACACTCACTGAGAAGGAAAGAACCAGGGAAGTCCTGTCCAGGATCCTCTGGGGCTCTGCTGTCCCGAACATAGATTTTACATCCTCTCTGTGTCTGCAGGAGGATGCAATGACAAGTTCTGCCCCATTTTTTTAAAGGGGTTCTGAGTTTTGAGGTTTAGGAGAGGCAGTTCCACCTGCAGGACCTGCTGCGTGCCAAGCCCAGGAGGAGGCTGTCTCACTGCACACCTCGCCCTCAAGCACCGCCTTCCTGAGCCTTTTCCCCTGCCCACACCTGCCGCAGCAATCTCCACTTCCAGTCTTTTCTTTCAGACCTGATCATCCGGGGCCATGAGGCCAAGCCCCACTCCCGCCCCTACATGGCCTATCTTCAGATCTGGAATCGGGGAACCCGGACGTGGTCCTCCTGCGGTGGTTTCCTGATCCGAGAAGACTTCGTGCTGACGGCCGCTCACTGTTGGGGAAGGTGAGGACAAAATTTCCACACCCTCCTGTAAATACTCCCCAGACACCACTGTACTGTCTGGACACATGTGCAGGAGGACTTCTTGGAGAAAGAGGGTAAGTGGGTCAGTCCCGTGGGGGGAGAGGAAGCTTAGTGTCAGAGGCACTGCTGAGGACAGAAAATCCCAGAGTGATCACGCCTGTCATATGCAGAGCTGGGGACATGCTTCAGCATGAGAATGGAAACTCAAGCAGTCTCACCTGTCTCCCCAGGGGGAGCTGACCCCTGAGAACCACTGGCCCAATAAGCAGAATGCCACCTCCTGGGACACTCCCAGACCCTGCCCTGCCCTGCCTGTCACTTGCTTGTCATGGCCTTTGGGCTGTACCCCTGTGACTCCACACATACACAGCCTCTTTCTGCTGTCTGTGCAGCTCCATAAATGTCACCCTGGGGGCTCACAACATCAGGAAGCATGAGAAGACCCAGCAGGTCATCCATGTGAGAAGAGCCACCCGCCACCCAGCATATGATTCTAAGAGACTTTTCAATGACATCATGCTGCTGCAGGTGAGGCAAAGTTCTGCTGCTCTAGCTCTGCTGGTCCCCTTGGCCCTCCCACTGTGACGCTGTCCCTTCTTCCCTCCTTTCCATCCTGCTGGGCCTCAGAGGAGAGGGGAGACAGCTCAGGCCCAGCACAGCACCAGGCCCAGGAGGCCACTGGCTGACCTGGGCTTGCTTGCCTCTTCCCCACCAGCTGGAGAGAAAGGCCAGGCTGACTTCAGCCGTGCAGCCCCTCAAGCTGCCCAAGCACATGGGCTGGGTGAAGCCAGGGGACAAGTGCAGTGTGGCCGGCTGGGGCCAGACTGCCATGGAGGGCAGAGGCTCAGACACGCTGCAGGAGGTGACGCTCACCGTGCAACAGGACAGGACGTGCGAATTGGTCTACCACCAGAATTACCACAAGGACACAGAGATATGTGTGGGGGACCCAAAGACAACTAATATCAACTTCAAGGTCAGATTCCCAGCATCTCCACTGACAGGTCCCTGGGAGGAGGAATTGAGGGAGATCTGGGCTATGGGAGTGGCCGGCCACTACGCCCTAGGGTGAGGGTGGAGTACTAGTGCAGAGCTGGTACACTCAGGTTTGAGAGAAATCCCTCCAGACAAAGATTCAGATAGAAAGAAGTTTATTTTACTTTCCCAAGAGGGAAAGGGCAAAACACAAGAGAGAAAGGGGAACAGTGTGTTGGCCTAGAAAGCCAGTTACTCAGAATGTTTATTTAAGAAATGTAAAAAAGGGTATGAAAGATGATTTATGGTTGTAGTCAAATCCACAGGGTGCTGTGAATTGTCATATCTGCTCCTTCTCTTCTTAGCGGGAAGCAGATAATAGAATGGGCTGTGTGGAACTGCTGTTTCTGTTCCTTTTCTTCAGCAATAGACTGATAGCAGAAACGGCTGTTAGAGATCTTGTCATGATCTTGCCCTCAAGATATGATTTGGGGCAGGAGCTGATGCCTGAAGTTTGTCCCCTCTGCTGTCCTGCAGGAGCTTCTCAGGAGCTACTCCCGGCTGTAGAGACAGATTCTAAAAGGCAGTTTTAGTCAATAGGTCTAGCAATCTTAAAAGGAAAAATTTACATTTCCTTTTTGTGTGCTGGGCTCCTCTTAGATGCAAACACAGAGCTCTGCAGGGCACCTGCCAGCAGGGAGAGAGAGACCAAACAGCAGGAAGAGAGCTCATGATTGATATTTAGATGTCATTAGAAAATTGTGGGATTAGGTATTTTCCAGTTATTTCAGCACAGCCCTCCTCTTTCATTTCCCCCTTTCTATTGTTAAACTTAAAATTTCTATTTAAAAAACATGAACTCAGGGAAAATGGGCAGAGGTCTTTCTTCTGTAACTGCTTCCACTGGTAATGGCCCTTGAGATCTTTTTATGGAGAGAGTTCATTTGAATTACTAAGGGGGAGACCATTGAAAATGTATGGTCTTGAAAGCTACATTAGATGTGCAGTTATATATCTATGTTACCAGATAGTGGAGAATGCAGGGTGTGAAAAGGTAGAGCTAAATGCGGAGCTGCTAGGGGCAATAGCCAAGAAACCTAAGGGCACACATGGCAGGAGGAGTCACAGTTCTGAGAAGGCAGAGGGCCTCCTGGACCTGGGCACATGGAGAAGTCACAGAGCGCCCACTGTGGCAGACGTAGAGAGCACGGTTACCATCATTACGGCTCCCAGCGTGGGCAAGGAGCAGACGGTCCTGGTCTGTAAGGTGGCATCACAGAGGATATGAGAAGTATAAAGAGGAGGCAAAGGGCAATGTGGAGCCATGTATACCACAGCATATTATCAGAACCTGGTATCCATGATGGGCTGGACGTTTAGGGAGTTCGCCATGGCTGGAAGCAGCTTCTGGAGCATCCAGGGCCAAAATCTCAGAAACTTAGCTGTGGCGGGAGTAGTGAGATTTATTTTTAAATGACCCTTTTCTAAGGTTGACCATCCCTTTCACTCAGCCCAGAGCGTGGGCAGCCTGGGTATCCCAGGAATCCAGTCTTTAGTCCATGTCCTGTGCAGAGGGGGTAGGCGTGGGGAAGGATCATCCCACAGCAGCGTTACCACCAGGATATGTCCCTGAGGACTGCAGAGAGAGGCTTGGCCTGGGTTGAGCTGGAAAGGACACTTAGGACCATACTGGAGCCCCAGGACTCAGGGAGGTGACAAGAAGGCTGCCCCAGCCCTGATGCCACACACACAGCCACCTAACAGAGACCACCCACCCATGCGTGGGGACACTAGCTCAATCTTCCTCTCTCTGCCCACAGGGGGATTCTGGTGGCCCCCTGGTGTGTAAGAAGGTGACCCAGGGCATTGTGTCTGGTGGAAGAATAAACGGAACACCTCCAAGAATATACACGAAGGTCTCACATTTCCTTCCCTGGATATGGAAAATAATGAAGTATAGCAGCCAAAGAAAGCCCCAAAACTGACGTCCTCTGAGCCAGACCATCTTTTCTGAGGCAGAGGCGAGAATCCCACAGAGGTGGGCAGTGGGATCACAGAAGTGCAATAAATGGATCTCTCGCATGAATATGACTCAAGTCTGGTCTATGCATTGATCTGCTTTCAATATGTGACAGCCTGCTCCAGGCTGCCCTCTGCTGTCAATTCTGGTTTGTATCCTCCTTTCCCCCACTGCCGGCTCTCCCTAAACCCCATGCTGGACAATTTCTCATCAATTTTTCAGGCACGAGTCTTTGATACCTAACTTTCTGCCACAGACAATCTTCTCCCCCCATAAAGTGAACCTCTCTGGGCCTTAGGAATTTCTTAACATCTCTAAGCTAACCGCTTTCACCAATCCCTGCCCCCCTGACTTTGGCAGAGAGTGGAGCACTAAGTGGAAAGGAGCTAACTCCAGGGACCCAGGTGGCCGGGCCCAGCCAGCAGCACCCCAGTGGGGGCACGCTTCTGCCACAGCCAGGCCTGTCTGCAGGTCCAGAGGCTGAGATGCTTCTCTGATGCCCCTCAGCCTCACCCAGGCCCTGCACTGGGCCCAGCACTGAGCTCAGTCAGCCTCCTTCCTCCCTGGCCTTCCCATACAGACCCCTGCTTTTCACCCAGGTGTCCCTAGCCACCAGCTCCTCCCTTCTAGCCCTGTTTGAGCCAGTCTTCTCTTTCTCATCTCCCAAGGCTGTGCATTTCTCATTTCTCAAGACTGAGCAGATTCTCCTCTATTGTTTGTCCCAGCCCAACCTGGGCTGCCAGCCCACCTGATGCTGATCACACTGGGCAGGGCTGGCTGAGGCCCCAGTTTAGCCAGGCATCCCCAGGGGCTCAGGCATCCCCTCATGTTCAGTGTCTCAGTGGCCTGGCCTGGCCTCAGTGCCCAGCCTCCCCCTGCTGGCAATGTGGGGCTATGGCGGCCTTGCACAAGAGGGCTCTGGGGCTGCTGGGCTGGAAGGACCCCTTTGCCACCCAAGTAGACAAATACCTGCTGATCTCACTCTCTTTGCGCAGGCACATAATACGTTCTTGTTCCTACTTATAGAAAACATACAGTGATGAGAAATTTCCTCTCAATTCTCCTAGTTCCCCTCCTTCCACCAGGCAAAAAAGTGGCACAAATGGATCTGTATTTGGAATCCACAAGAAATTCTGCTTGGAAAGTAATTAAATTCTCTGTATTCTATCTGTAAATCACAGTGCCACATGCATGATCTGGTTTCATTCCAGAAGGCCAGTCTGTGAAATTGAAAGAAACTTAGAGACCCTCATGTGGTGAGCTTTCTAATCTGTGCTCAGTGGAGTCTGTATCCAGAGGTACGAGGGGAAGAAGGAAACAACTGGAATTAGCCGTAGTTTTGCTAATTTTGCACATAGACGACATGAACCTCAGTTCACAAACCTAAGAAATGCTACAGTTCAAGTGCAAGACAGTTAATTGTGACCCAGGTGACCTTATTTAGGATCCTTATCCCCAAACAGTATCCCTAGGGAGTCAGACGGGACAGAACCTAATAAATTCACAATAGCTGGACAAACACTGCATCAAGTGAGACCAACACTGGGCAAAGGAGCAACTTCCCCTAAAAAGAATAACAAACCACATGGATTCAGAAAAATACAAAATCCATCACATTGGAAAACAAGAGGAAAAACAAATACACTTATTTTTCACATAAGGCTGTTCCATTGTGTGAAGCCTCAGGCTAATTGCTTTCTTTTAGCTTATGTTTATTGCTTGTTTTTAGGAAGTTGGGTTGAGCGGGCTGATTGCAGTAAATTTTGGGATGAAACAAAAGGGCAAGCGCATAAGGGGCCAACCAATCAATGTAAAAGGCAAGCGCATGGGCACAAGGGGCCAACCGATCAATGTAAAGGGCAAGCGCGTGGACAGGATATGCACCTAGGGTATAAAGGGCTCCGTCCCACAGTGCGCGGGGTCTTTGTCCCAATAGAGGCTGCCATATCGGTGCTCTGGGACTTGGACCCTAGCTCGAGCTAGTCAATAAAACTCCTTTTGATGATTTCAGCTCAGTGACCCTGTCTCTTTGTTCTGTGGTCCTACGGTTTCCCGCTCTAACAATTGTCCACCTGACAAGCCTTTCCCTGGGGATCACAACACTGGCAGTGGTAAAGAGGAGAGAGGGATTAATTGCATCCAGAGATAAGCAAGTGAGCAGCAGAGCATGCAGGAGCTGCGGGCAACCGCACAGAAGAAATGTACAGAGCCCAGAAAGTCAGCCATGAAGAGCCCCACAGAGTCCCAGGACATAATCCAGATACAGCAACAGAGTGACCTTAGTCCCAGGACATAAGGACAGCAACAGAGTGACCAAACATGCCCACCACCTGGGGCAGGGACCATGCCTAATGGGTCAGTGTTGCCTCTTACACCTGATAGAAATACTCGACACTGAGTATAAGATGCATTAGGAAGAGAAAACATTGCCTTACAATGACTGGAGCATCATGAAGACTGGGCTGCTCTTGATACATCTTTCCTTAAAGTGATCTCCAAATAAGTTTACATTTATTTGTCTTTATTGATCTAGGATTTTTATTTCTAGGACTTTATCCTATGTAAGATTTAAAGTGTGTATGTGCATGTGTGTGTGTGAGTGTATGTGTGTATGTGGGAGGGTTACTCATAAAAATGTTCATCACAGTATTATTTAATAATGGACCCCAAATTAGAAACAGTATTAACGTCCAACATAGGGAAATGTTAAATTATGGTGCATTTACCTTTTGCAGTAGACAGCCGTTAGAATCTACCTTATCCACAGCAGGACAACACTAGGCTAAGTACATTAAGAGACAAGTTATTTTAAAAAACACACAAATAAGCATTTTGGGGAATGTAAAACCTCACCAACTAATCAATGAAAAATTAAAATATTAATAATTTTTCCTTATGTGATTGGGAAGGATTTACAAAAATGATAGCATTCAGATTCAGTATGGACATTGAGAAAATGACATTTTCACAACTTACATACAAAGATCCTTTAAAAAAAAGTCTTTGACCAAGTTATCAATCACACCAAGAAAATTGAACAAGGTTATTCCTTATAAAGACCTTCTCACATAAGTAAAATCTTAGAAACAATGCCAATGTCCAGCACTAATTTGGCTATTTGTTTTTAAAAACTGGCATATTACTGAACATTACAGAATCCTTAAAGTTATGATATACAATTACATTTTGTTACATGGAAGAATAATCACCAGGTATGTTTAAGTAAAAGCAAGTTATAGATTAGTATCTATGACAATTACATTTTGCTCATACGCATATTTTTCTTTTAGCTTTTGTTCTTCCTACATATTCATTTTCCTAATTTTTTCACAACTTTTATGCATTATTTAATAAATTAAGTCAATTTATTACATATGAATGAGCTTCTAACATAATACTCACTAATAGATTTTTAATAAAATGAGGGAAATATTTATGTTCAATAATTAAAATGTAGGATTCAAAAGTAAATATAATATGATCACACCTATGTAAAAATATACAAAAAAGAAATCTATATGAAAATACAACTCTGTTAACAATGAACAATTGGATGGTGAGATTAAGACTGACATACTTTTGGGCCTGGTACAGTGGCTCACACCTGTAATCCTAGCACTCTGGGAGGCTGAGGGGCAAGGCTCACATGAGGTCAGGAGTTTGAGATTAGCCTGAGCAAGACTGAGACCCCATTTCTACTAAAAATAGGAAAAATTAGACAGGCAACTAAAAAAATTAGAAAACATTAGCTGAGGGCAGTGATGCATGCCTGTAATCCCAGCTACTCAGGAGGCTGAGGCAGGAGGATCACTTGAGCCAAGGAGTTTGAGGTTGCTGTGAGCTAGCCTGATGCCACAGCACTCTAGCCTGGGCAACAGAGTGAGACTCTGTCTCAAAAAAAAAGGACTGACATATTCTTCTATTTATTAATTTATTCAGCATTTTAAAATTTATAATTATTAAAACAACTTTATTTTTAAACAATATTCCAGTGATAAAGACATCTAGGGCTGGGCACGCCTGTAATCCTAGCACTCTGGGAGGCCGAGGCGGGCGGATGGCTCGAGGTCAGGAGTTCGAAACCAGCCTGAGCAAGAGTGAGACCCCGTCTCTACTATAAATAGAAAGAAATTAATTGGCCAACTAATACATATAGAAAAATTAGCCAGGCATGGTGGCGCATGCCTGTAGTCCCAGCTACTTGGGAGGCTGAGGCAGCAGGATTGCTTGAGCCCAGGAGTTTGAGGTTGCTGTGAGCTAGGCTGATGCCACAGCACTCACTCTAGCCTGGGCAACAAAGCAAGACTCTGTCTCAAAAAAATACAAAAAAAAAAAAAACAAAAAAAGACATCTTGGAAATGCCTGAAAAGAATTCAAAATAATGATATTAAAGAAAACCAGTGACACACCAGAGAATATGCATAAACAATACAAACAAATCAGCAAAACAATTCAAGATATAAATGAGAAATTCAGCTAAGAGATAAATATTATAAACTCACACCAAACAGAAACCCTGGCACTAAAGAACTCAATAGGCCGGGCGCAGTGGCTCATGCCTGTAAGCCTAGCACTCTGGGAGACCGAAGCAGGCGAATCACTCAAGGTCAGGAGTTGGAAACCAGCCTGAGCAAGAGTGAGACGTGTCTCTACTAAAAACAGAAAGAAATTGATGGGCCAACTGAAAATATATAGAAAAACATTAGTTTGGCATGGTGGCACAGGCCTGTAGAACCAGCTACTTGGGAGGCTGAGGCAGAAGGATCGCTTGAGCCTAGGAGTTTGAGGTTGCTGTGAGATAGGCTGACGCCACAGCACTCTAGCCTGGGCAACAGAGTGAGACTCCATAACAAAAAAAGAAAAAGAAAAACTCAATGAAGAAATAAAAATGAAAAATACAATTGAAATCTTTAACAATAGACTAGATCAAACATAAGAAAGAATTTCTGAACTCAACTACAGAACTTTTGAAATAACTCAGTGAGATAAAAAAAAAAAAAAAAAAACAAAGAAGAAGAAGAAGAATGAAGAAAGCCTACATGTGAGATACCAGAAAGCAACCAAATATTTAAATTTTGGGTATCATTGAAGAAGAAGAGATGGGCAAAGGCATAGAAAACCTATTAAATAAAATAATAGCTGGAACCTTCCTAAGTCTTGCAACAGATATAGACATCTACATGCAGGAAGCTCAAAGATCCCCACATAGATCAAACCAAAAAAGTCTTCTTCAAGGGACATTATACTCAAAGCGCCAAAGATACAGCAAATTCTAAAACCAGTAAGAAAAAATTGCCTAGTTACTTCTAAGGGAATCCTCATAAAACTGACATTGAATTTCGCAACAGAAGCCTTACAGGCCAGGAGAGAATGGGATGATGAACTTAAAGTACTGAAGAAAAAATTAAAAACCTAGAAGTCAAGAATGCTATAGTCAGCAAAGCTAGTCTTTCAAAGTGAAAGAAATATAAAGATTTGTTACCAATAACTTGGGCCTTGTCCTCAAGGCTGCATCAGAACAATGACAGTAAGTATTTGCGGGAGGAGGAAAGAGAATTTCTATTACTTTGCTGGCAAAGGAGGAAAATGGCAGGCCTTCTTATCTCAAAATCCAAATATCCTCAACAAAGGCAGAAATACAGAATTTTAAAAGGGAGGGTCCCTCAGTTCTAGACGATTGTAGTTAATTACTCTAATCATCCCATCTCTGCAAAAGACAAAGCCTGGGAACTCCCGCTTCTCTTTGTTTTTCTCCTGTCAACTGGGACTGAGGCAAGTAATTGACTGTCCCCACCCTCAGAGGTCTGACCTCATCACAAAGACTCTGGAGCCAGACTGCCTTGGCACATCATAATTCTGTATTGTTGAGCAAGTTGTTTGAATTTATATTTCCTCCCTTTCCTCATCGATAAAATGGGAATGATGTTAGCACTGACCTTGTAGAGTTGCTATGAGAATTAAATTACTTA